TGCAATGTCTTTGCCCAAAATAAACGTCGTTGCTAAATGAAAGAAAGTGGTTGTACTGTGCTTGTCCTCTGTGGTGTATAATATAAATTTAATGTGGTCATTTTTTCTTTTCCTGACGGCAGCCCGTCTGTGGAAGCTTATTTACGTTAATGGTAGTTAATAACTGGATCTATTATACGTTGGAGATGTCAGGTATTGAGAAAATCCAAATGTGACCAAGATATGTCTTCCTTTTAACAAGACACCATTTTACTTTAAACAACATGCAATGCCTACACTTTTTTGTCGGCAAGCACTGCTATACCGATTGGTTCCTTTCCAAGAATATTAATATTATGGATAAAAAAAAGGCAATCTCCTAAAAACTTTTAATTTTCCGATTAATTTCGTAAAGTGATTGCTGGTAAGCATATATTTTTTTATACTACTGTCCATTTTGGTACTGATGATTAAAAATTAAAACAGCGCAAGGACACGGACAAGAACAAGGAGCTGATCTTGTCCGTGTCCTTGCGCTGTTTAAATTTTTAATCATGAAATACCAACTAGCCCAAACTTCCACGTTGGTACTGATGTATTGTTTTTGTTTTTGGACGCAGAAACTGACAAATTTGACTATTTTAGATGCAGAAAATGACAAACCTAGGGGAGGCCACGCATAAAAGAACAAACGCAAGGTCGCACGAAACCATTATTATTTTTATGTCTGAATCACATTGGACTTGCAATTATACTCTCTGAGGCTGCAGAAATAAGATAAAATAAAACAAACAGTGATTCGACTATGGGTATGCGTAAAATTACGATTCGAAGAAAAACATATCAGAATTATTTTAATTTTGTTTTATCCCGAAATACACGCCCACGTGCCCCTGGTTCCCTCAACGCAGAAGGTAAAACGCTGACTGTGAGCCGCAAAAAAAATTTTTAAAAGCGTTAAAAAATATTTAAGACGGATGGTATGGTACTATCGTTTATTTTCTGTGCGAAAGATGTTGGTCAAGAGTGCAGCTTATATTCAAGTTCGATGGGTACTACAGTGAAATCTCTCAGATTCGCTAGGTAATGCACCCTGTCGTCAATTTAATAAACTACACGAAATGCGGGCGTGATGTTTATTATATTAATGAAAACCTTTATTTTTCTAGAGAACGTGCCATGTGGATTGCTTATTTTGTTTCGTTACCGTAATTGTAAAATACACAGTCACACGAGGACCTTTCAAAGCAATGTTTCTCGATAGCTTCTGTGCGTTAACGTAGTCATTGGAATAAGAAACTGTTGAAGATACTTTATCGCCACTCATGGATTGCACGCAAGCTCTGTGTTAGCACTCCAGCAGAATTCGCGGCAATCAATGCCTCGACGAGTGCCTGGCAGTTGCGCGTGTTATTTCGCTGAAATGACGGGAAGAACCGAACCCTCACAATGTATCAAGCCCAGCGCTTGACCTGTGCTTTGGCAACTCCATCGCGGGGCAGTTACGGATATTGACGTCATATAATCGGCACCTGATAACCTGGCTCTATCTTCAGGCGGCGTGTTGAGGGTGGGAATGCTGTTATACTCGCAGACAACTTTCTGTGGCTATGCAGTCAAAGGTACGGCAGCGCGTGCTTGAACTCTGATTAAAGTCGTTCACGTGCGCTGCTCTCATAGAAAATTCCACAAAATGTTTTCCATTAGAATTATCTTTATTTTTCGCCTGCAACTCTCGTTGCTGGAAGGAAAGAAGCAACGCGTGTTTCGTATGTTTTTAACACCACGAATTACGCCTAAGCGGGGAACGTGTAAACGTGTAAAACCATGAAATGAATGTGTAAAAATTGTTGCTTCACCCTTTCAAACGTGATTGCCTCTATGATAATAAAAAAAAACAATTGCCATCATCATTGTGACAAGGCCAACACATGTACTTTTGCCAAGCAAACCTAAAGATCCGACCGTACAAACTGAGTTTACATAAAACAGAATTGACACCTATTTTTTTTTGCCATTGGAGTAGTATCACTCCTTTTTGGTATGCATTGAGAGCTCTAGGTTATCTTTAAACTAAGAACAAAGTCTGAAAATCTACAATCTTTATTACCGTGCCTAACAAGCATAACCAGTTGGACGAGAAAAACGTTGCGAAAATCATTGCGTCGACTGCTTGTGCTAGAATATACCAGACACCAGATACGTGAAATACGTGGCTCTGGAGGTGGGCAAACAGAGAAGTTCTACAGCCAACAAAAAAGAAATAACTGCCTGAGGTAGACGTGTCTTGACTCATCTTTTAAAAGAAGCATTGCGTTTACTTTGGCGCGACAAGCTCCTGTGTAATTTTATTGTTTTCTTCACAAAACGAGTAAACATATCACGAGAAGGCCGCATAAAAAAATTGGGATCTCTGTGACTATCACAAGTGAGTGAGTGAATGCTGTCGCTGAAAAAAGCTGACGTTCTTCAGTGGCGGTCATGTCCCAAGCATTTACATGACATTGCATTTATACTCATCCAAATTACATTTAGTTAAAGATGAAGGTTTTCCGCTCTCTCGTTCTCTGGGGATTTGTCGTGATATAAGTATCTCCAAAAGCAGAAAAAAAAGAACATTTGTATTCTTATTGGATTATATAACATCAGACCAAATAAAAATACGAAAACAATTGCGTGTGAGGTTTATTTTTTTTATTTTTCAGTAAATATGCAGACAGCTGATACCCAGTTAAGCAGGCATTTGTTACAAGATCTGGAGCTTGTCTATCGCATGGAGGAACTAGGAGGAGCATTAAGACTTTTGTCTTCTTGACTTGGTATTGACCTTTATATAATTTCTACCTCCTCTTTTTATCAGAGCGCAGTGCTAACCATTGAGATATATGTCTAAAGCCTAAATTGTAGCTTTCATTTGCATCAACAAATATTATGTGTGTGCGATATACTCACAAATGAAATTTACATTTGCCAATTTCGCTCTGCAGTGTAACAGAGAGCACGCTTTTCTTGCAGCCAATTGGCACGTACGGCTGATAAGGTTAAAGCTGCAGCGCCATGCACATTTAAGTAACTAGCAATAATCCCCCTGAGGGCATCATTAATTAAAAACACGTTCGTGTCACGTTACACTAATGACGTGGCACTGCTGTTGTCGGTGTGCAAGTGAAGAAAATTCACATCATGTCGAGAAGGTTTTTGTCCACTCGCGGTCCCGATACTGGGCGTGGAAAAACACGGACTGCTTGTAAACAGTGCGTGTGTCGGTAAAGCTTTCATGATCTTAAGGATAACAAGTGTGTTAATCAGCTGTAAGGGTAATTGGAATTGAATGCATGAGTGTTTTTTCTTTCCTTGAGTCCCATTACTCGGAGTGCAAAGCTGCACTGGGAATTTTTCTGGATTTTGCTTTCTACGCAACGTTCTATATGCGTTTGAAATTATGCATTTTATTATTTTTCACACGTGCCATAAACGATGTTTAAAAATTTTGCCTTATGTTCACTTTTTCACATATTACTTTAACTAGATCTGTGGTTAATTACGGGGTCTTGACAAAAGACTGTGTAAACTTTTTGGAAAAAATTAAGGCACCTAACGCCAGTGATAAATCTTCTTAATGTAACGTTCTACTGAGCAGTAGAGTTTCTTTCTTTTCTACAAGAAGGAAAATTGAGCTTAAGGCATTTAGTCGCCACGCAAAAATCGGTTTATCAATTTACCATGTTGCATTTTACTACATAGTGCACTTGGGTAGTAAAAATTTTCAGCAGAAAAAAAAAGAAAAAAAAATCTTATCGTTAAGAAGAGAAACCTTATTTTTGGCATTCTACGCAGTCACTTTGCCGACGATGTACGCGTAGTGAGAAGTGCTCCCGAGAGATGGCGCACACCGCGTCCAGGGATCGCCGCCCATTCAGATTGTTTTGCAGGATCGTCTCCAATCAAAACTCAAATCGGCCGACGCTCCCCGAGTCGTGCGCATCTGTTGGCCGTTCTTCCCACTACGCGCACATCGCAAACGAAGTGGCAGCGTGGATTGCCCAGGACAGGCTTTTTTTTTATGGTGTAAGTAATTTTATTTGATTTTTCAACTCCAAACTTCCACAATTTGCTTGCACCTCTCTTCTAAACTGCAGCATAATACGTCGAGAAACCAATATTTTCGTGCCGTCTGAATTGATTAAAAAGCGTTCATTTTCTTAATGTAGAATTAACGCATGTACGCCTCTTTTATTTAAAAGCTTGTGTGATCTAAAATCCTGTACAATATTTTTATACGAACATGTGTGCTCTTCTGCGATGCAAAAGCACTCATCAAGCACCCCACGAATGAAATAAAGAAGTTGTTTTTTATACTGAATCTATGTCAGAATCTCTTTTAGTGAAAAAACTTGGCATGCAGCAAACATAGGAACGGGTAAATGTAGATTCACCAATGAAAAATGTAAACCAAGCCCATAAAGAGACATACCAATGTCTAGAAAAACAGCCAAAACCACAGCATTAATTAGGTGTCTAGCGAACTTTCTTCTCTAAACCACACATTATATCTGTCGAGATCGGTATAACGTTTGCAATTGATACGCACAATAGACCTATCGCTAAATTACCTAAGGATCACGGAGAATGCAGCGATTGGTGTTCCACGCGCCACACGCGCAGGCCTTCCCCATATAAAATATCTGAAGTAAATAAGCAAAATAAAGCTTTGACGAATGCGCGAGCAAGACGCGATTTGTTTTGGGCATTTGCTTTAGAAAAGTTATTACTGCTGAGGCCAGGACGTGCAACGCGTGGAACACCAATCCCTGCATTCGCCTTGATGCTTGAGTAATTAAATTAAAATTTAATATCAGTAGGTGTCCAGCAGCCCGATTAATGTTGACTATTATCTGCTCCTTCAAGATATTATCACAACATCCATGAGAGTTCCAAAGTAAAAATCGCGAACCACAATCAATGAAGATAACAAACTATTTTTTTAACTTAAAATAACTAATATCGGTAAATCCGCTTACGTCTAAAGGCCCAGGAATCCACTCTCTTGACCGCACGCAGAAGCTTGATAAGGCCGAAACTACACGTTGTCGACAGATCGGCTTGAAGCACCTTTCGAGTGAAGGAGCCCGACGGGTCGTCGAGCAACTTTCCCACCACTTTACGCACTTCGGCGATGACGTCCAACCGTGGCTTGGCTGTGGCCTCCGGATCGCACATCGCTGACTCGGGCAGAAAAACGCACAACGTCCAAACAATCACGAGCAGATTCGTGAATCTTAGAACACGAAACTCTGCCATTGTAAACTTTGTTTTCGGCAAATCTGGCAGACTCAAATCCAGGCGACACTGCGCGTTTCCAGGCCGCACAATGTTTGTTAAATCTGCACAGTTCCGATGAAGGAAGTGATATTTGCAGCTGCTCGAAAAAAGAGAGACTGATTCCCCCTAAATGACTCTTTACGGCTCAACGGGCAGCGTTGGGGCGAGCGCGATACTCGGAATATTTTTCCTCTTCCGCCGTCGGTAACCGCACGTCATGCGGGGATTTCTTTCGATAAGCAAAGCGAGGGCAGAGGCAGAAGCGTGGAGGCGCGTCGGCCACGGATATTTTCCGAGCTTGAGGCTTGCCCCCCACTCCTTTCCCTCTATCACATCAGGAGTTTTGTTCTTCGGTTTGTCGAGAAAAACAAGCGTTGTGTAAGTGACGTCTAACTTGTCCAGCTGATTGGAGAAAGTTTGAGCAATTTTCGTGCGCTCAGGTTATTCGTCTCGTTCCCTTGGGCGGCGGCGATTTTGCCTCGGATATCGACAAAATTTTGCCTATACAGAACCGCGCAAGGAATGCGTTTAGGGTTAGGACATTTTTTGTTTGTAATTGACAATGCCCAATGTGGGGAAAGCCCTCGGGAATGCCTTGTGTTATTTAATGTCCGTAACCTAAGTAAAGTCTGCGTTGTGGCACTTAACGTTGCGTTTGACCATGCTCAGGGTTACACCGCAAACTTCTTTTTTAAGGCTACACATAATTTCGGCATCATCAATTGCCAGTATCTTGGAAATCTTCAGCGACGGGCTTTCTCATGTGCATAGCGGGAAAGACGATGTTTCAGATTTCTTTCCACTGCAAACTTGCACCACCTGCTTGCACCACTGTAGTAAATTGCAGCACGGTACGTTGATTAACCGATTTCTGTGGGGCACCTCAATGCTCCAAAAACGTAAGCTTACGTGCTGAAGAAAAAAAAACAACAAAAAACACGACTGCTCAGTGGCACGTTATATTTAGCAAATTTAACGCTGCCGAGTGGTGCCTTAATTTTTCCCAAATAGCTGACTACCGTTTGCAAGGTTCCCATAAATAATGCCAGGACCTAACTAAATAGTATAAAAAAGTGAACACGAGACACATTCTTAATCATATGATTCGTGGCCTGTGTGAAAAATAATAAAGTGCATTATTTGTTTTGTACATCGTCAGTGAGGTGTTTTGTTCGATACCCATAAGGCATTAATACACCCAGGCAGCGTTACATTTTTAACCCCTAGAAGAAACAAGGATTCCTCAGTCTGTCGCCGATTTGTGACAAAATTACTTGTTAAACACGCACCCACATGAGAGTGATATTCAATACACCTGCTGTACTCCGGATCACAGCAGTTAGGTTATTTCAGATGCAGTATTAGAGGATCACGTACGTACGTCGACTCAAAAAGTCAATGGCTTCTTGAGTGCACCCCCATGCCAAGGAGTCAATGTCGCGTTACTATCGAGCGGGATTTGTCTGTCGTGGCACGGAAATGAATGTCTCACTGGGGGCATTTAGAAGATCACTTTCACAAACCCATGATTTGCCCAGCTTCCCGATTTGAGCACCCTTCAAATGGGACACACAAGCTCCCCACACCAACATTGTTCTTAAATAATACATACTCCAACACATTTTCAGTGAAACAACCTCGACTCACCTCAGATGTGTTAAACCAAGTTGAAACAAAACATTGTTCAATTTTAGGTTTCAATATTGCTGAGCGGAAGTCAAGCTTCTCATGAGCATCCTCATGTTTCAGGGAGTTTGTTTTCCTGAATGGATAATACAGCCACCGGCAGAATGAGCTGGCCAAGATAGAATTAGCCAAAATGGTAAAACTGCCATTTCCCCATACAGCAGCTTGTGCTGTATACCCATACTTTACCTGTATCCCCATACAGCAATATCGAACAAAACACCTGACTAATGGTGTACAAAACAGATAATGCACTTTATTATTTTCCACACAACTACTCTGCCGGCGTCACAATAAGTAAAGAAACCGATTGACATATTGCGGCAATTGTAAAGGTGGCCGTCCATTCCAACCTTATTTTTAACAGTCTAACGTAAACAGACCTCAACGCGTAGGTTTCAGCTGTTGTGACCTAAACGCTGTCGATACCCCTGATTCGGCCGAACCGTTTACAATGTGCGAGACCTTTGGAGGGGGCACGATATTAACTCACTTGTATTTTTTCTCAGAGTGATATATTTGGACAACAGTATTCAGCGGTTAGACAAGAAATATTTTATCTACATTTTCAGTCAGGTGGAAAACCTTCAATTGGGGCAAATGAAGGTTTTTTGCCTCACTGATAATGTGGATGAAAATATTTATACACCAAGAAAAATATAACTGAACGTTTCAAGAATTGCTTTGTTCCATTATTGGTACCCCTCTATGCCGACTCGCTAAACCAAAAATACAGAGGGTGTCTTATCATCCTCATCATCATTATCATCATTTATATTCCTTGAAGGCCCAGGGGGCATTATACAAGGGAGTGAACACTTAAAAAAAACAAGTAACAAGACTATTTATCTACAAAAACACGCTGTAATCTAGTTATGGGTTAGAAAAAATAAGCTAATGACTGCAGAAAATTTCTTAGTATCAGATAAGGAAACAATTACGTCATGCAGTGAGTTCCAGTCGTCAATGGCCAACGGTAAAGTAGACATTTGGTGAGTGACGGTTGACGATGAAATCAGACGGAGTTTACAAGAATGGTCGAGACGAGGGAAAATGCGGTAAGGAGGTGATAACAAACTTTGTCTGAGATGACTGTTATAATACTGTCGTATGTTACACCAAAGACGACTTGAAGGCGAAAGCCCAAGCGCCAATATAAGCCTGATAGCGGACCTCCGAAGACCGCGTGCTCCCTCACGATGGACTTTCGTGGCGCCGACGTGCTTTCGTAATTTTCGTGTTGTCGACGTGCTTTCGCTCAAGGACATTTAAGTTCGACTGAACGATGAGACATATAAGGCTTTTGCCTCGAAAACAAAAACATCTTTCACAGTTAATATTAGTTCCTAGGTAGTGGCGTCATTCCATAATACACATTGAATGTTCTAGTAAAATGCATTACCATGTGAGCAATGAATAATTTGTTTAGTTATGTTTTAGTGGCTTGATCCAGCTAGTTCTAATGTGAACCTGCAATATTGAATAATCAGAGTGAGAGAGCATTGTGCCGAACTATTTCACTTGTAAAAGCGTTGACGCGGTGAAGTTCCTTTCAAAGTCAATGGACTAAAGCCATGCTTCCGATAGCGCGAGACGCCAATGTTATATACAGTTAATACAGAGACCTGTGTTTCGTCTTCAGGGAGATGTACTTAATTTTGCCCATATGTTTCGTGTCGCTTCCTACCAGAGGCACTTTTCGTTTGCGTGTGTGTGTTTGGTAGGAAGGGGGGGGAGGGAGGGGGAGCAACATTTCACACTTTCAATATGGATAGCCAAAACTGCAACTGATACTACCTTACCCAACATAAGTTGTGTATTTTCCCTACAAAAAGTTAAAAAAGTGTCCTACTGTATACTTGCTTTCTGATCTCGCCACATAATTGCCGAAAAGCCGGATTGAAGCCAAAGGTTAACCCAAGAACTAGCAGCGAATCTTAAATCTGGCTCTTGTTTTGCAACTTCATCCCAAAATTTCAACAACAAAATCGAACAACCATCAATGATGTTTAATTTTGACTCTTGCTCTTCAAATTCGGGCCAACATTTTCAGAATTTGGCGAAGGACGGTCTGTTTGGCTGTGCTTCTTTGTGTCTTCGGGCTTTTCAAGAATCTAAATTTTTAGACAAAAAATACTTTTCGGCCCAAAGAACTGTGCTACCTGAATGGACACCTCCGAGACAAAGCTGTTCATTCAGAACTCGTTAACCTGCTGAGTTGACCGGCATCCGATAAAATCTTTTTTTTTTTTTAAGAACTTACAAGGCATAGTAACTTACCCAAATCATTGTCGGAACTGAATGTTGGAGTACCTTGTTTGCCTTAAGGGCTCTGGAGAGCTATGTTTTTATACCTCGAACCTTTAGCCAACCAGTCCTCTTTTTAATTTGGTGAACTGGGCCAGTTGGTTGTCGTTTTACATGATGGGGAAGACAGCTCTGGAAACGCGGACTACGAAGAACAAACGCGACAGTACATGGCTATTGAACAAACACGGCAGAACAACAGTATTGTATTCCTAACGCGCGTGTTGGTAAGATGTACTAGATAACAGAAAGTATAAAACAAAGAGAGAGAGAGAATGTACTCGTCTGGTGTTTCGTCCTCTCTCCGTTTTATACTTTCTGTTATGTAGTACAGTATTGTCCTGTCTTGTTTGTGCTTCATAGCAGTCCGCATTTTCTCAGCGATTGGCTGAGTGTTATATTTTCTGCCTTAAGATGCTTTATATTTTTACTGCCCGACAAAATGTGTTTATTTACTCTGTCGGAAGCTTTCTTGCGCTAAAAAAGTGCTAAAAGTACCCACATGTCCATAACATATGAATTTGCTTTTACCTAGAATGAATATAAACGGATTGTTACTTCGTCATTTTTTAACCCTAAAAAGAGAGAAACAGGAACCTGACTGCACGTGTTGTCCTGTCTTATTTGTCCGCTCTCGACGGTTAAATCATTTAGTCCTTCAAAAGATACTGAACCAAACAATTCGGTGTCCATGATAAGTGGCGCACGTTCTTTCCACCAGCCAGAAGCCGCAGGTGTGCGGGAGCACACGCAAAACAATTGGCGTCCGTCTCCCATTCACGATTATGATAAAAGTGAAATGTATGGGCATTGTGCCAAAAGAGAATAAATGCAGGCTTTTTATGTCCACAAGTGAAAGCTACGTGCTTGTTAGACCGATTAATCAGTCGCCTTTTACACCAGACCACACTGTGGAAGTGACAAGCTTGTATTTATTCTCCTTTTCGCCGGAACCCACACATTTCACTGTCGCATTAAGTGTGAATGGAGGACAATGACGTCCATTTCGTTGCGTGTGCTCGTGCACACCGGCGGCTGCTGGCCCGTGGAAATTTCGTGCGCCATTTATTATAGAGATTGGAATGTTTGGTTCAGTATACCTTTAAGAAGCTCACCTGCATCCTTGCATAAGCTTCATTGATTCGTTCTTTTTTTATTGTTTTTTTTTTAAACTGAAATGGCTTTCGACC